AACTTCCCAGTCGCCACATCTTGCTCGATCTCCATACCGAGAAAGTACTTGAGCTGGCCCATGTCGGTCATCTCGAACCGGTCACTCAGCGCCTGCTTCGTGTCCTTCAGCATCCCGTCGCTGCTGCTGGCGAGGACCAGATCGTCCACGTACAGTGCCACGAACATCATGTCGTGATTGTCCCGCTTCAAGTAGATGCAGTGGTCGGACTCGCACTTCTTGAACCCCAGCTTCAACATGAACTCGTCGATCGTCTTGTTCCACATCCGCGGCGACTGCTTCAGGCCGTACAGCAAACGCTTGTCCGCGGCGACTGCTTCAGGCCGTACAGCAAACGCTTGAGCCGGCACACATAGTCGGGTCGATCTCCGTCCACATATCCGTCCGGCTGCGCCATGTAGATGTCCTCGTCCAACACGCCGTTGAGGAACGCGGCCTTCACATCCATCTGGTGCACTGTGAGCTTGTACTTGGCCGCCAGACTCAGCAACACCCGAATCGACGTGAACTTGGCCACCGGCGCGAACGTCTCGTCGTAGTCGATGCCGTACTTCTGCGAGAACCCCTTCGCCACCAGTCGCGCCTTGAACCGCTCGATCTCTCCAGACTGGTTCTCCTTCACGCGGAACACCCATCTGCAGCCGATCGCCTTGCGTCCCTTCGGCAGTGGCACCAGGGTCCACGTCTCGTTCTTGCGGAGCGACTCCACCTCCGAGTCGCACGCCTCTTTCCACTTGTCTGCGTCGCTGGATTCCATCGCCGACTTGAACGTTGTCGGCATCTCTCCCACTGAATCCACGACGTACGCAGCCTCGAAGTCTTCCTTCTCTTGTGCTGCGGCAGACATCTCGTCCAGCGGCTGCTGTCGTCTCGGCACCGCATACCGCTTGGCACTCGGAACCTCCACGGCTTCCTCGAGCGACTGCGTGCGCGGGTGTCGCTTGCTGCCGGGTTCAAAGTCTTGATTCCGCGCAGCTTCTTCTCTGTTCTCGTCTGATCCGGACTGAGTCTCTTCATCCGTGGTGTCTTCATCATCATCTGTCGAAAGACCCACCAACACCTCCTTCGAAGCGTAGTCGCGTCTCCCACCGTCGAAGACATCCTCCATGAACTGCGCGTCGCGGCTCACCAACACGCGACCGCTCTCGATCTCCTCGAACCGATACGCCTTCTCGTGCTCCGAGTACCCGAGGAAACGACAGCGCACCGACCGAGCGTCAAACTTCGACCGCTTCTCCTTCGGCACGTGCACGTACGCGTGGCACCCGAACACCTTGAGGTTGGCCAGCAAAGGCTTCTTGCCGGTCCAAACGTGGTGCGGCGACTTGTCGTGACTGATGGCGCGCGTCGGACACCGGTTGCGGAGGAACGTGGCCGTCATCACCGCTTCTCCCCAGTACTCCTTCGACAACCCGGCGTGCTCCAGCATGCAGCGCACACACTCCACCAGCGTCCGATTCATTCGCTCGGCCACTCCGTTGAGCTGAGGCGTGTATGGTGGCGTGAACTTCTGCTCGATGCCGCGATCCGCACACAACTTGGCCATCGCACCCGAAGTGTACTCGCCGCCGTTGTCGCTCCGAAGCACCTTCACTCGCTTGCCGGTCTGCGTCTCAGCCAACGCGACGAACGCAGCGAACTTGGCAGCCACCTCTGACTTGTTCCGTAGCAGGTACACCACGCAGAAGTGCGACTTGTCGTCGATGAACGTGACGAAGTAGCGCTTGCCTCCGAACGTCGCCGTCTGCATCGGACCGCACACATCGCTGTGGACCACCTCCAGCACTTGCTTCGCACGGTTCGGCGACGACTTCATGAAGCTTACTCGCGTTTGCTTGCCGAGTGCGCACCCGTCGCACACCTCCCACTGCTTCACCGACGTCATTGGGATGCCAGTACCGTAGCCCTTCTTGACGATGGCGTCGAGACCACCATGGCCGATGTGACCAAGTCGAAGGTGCCAGAGGTACGACGTGGTGTCCCCTTGGCGATTCTTCGAGCTTGCCGCATTGGCCTCGTCAGCAGGCGTCCTCGGCGTCATGCAGAGCTTGAACAGTCCTTTGCCTTCGCGAGCGCCGAGCTTCCACTTGAGACCCTTCGTTTCCGCGAAGCACCCGTCGCTCTCGAAGGTCACTGGCCCGACGTCCTTGGTGAAGCGGCCGACGGAGAACAGGTTGCGCGACAGCTCCGGGATGTGCCACACACCCGTGAGCACACCCTTCTTCATGCCGCGCGGTGTCTGCATCGACATCACGATGTCGCCGCTCCCCACCGCCTGAACCACGCCGTCGTCCGCCAGATGCACGTCCACCGGAGAGATCTTCTTGTAGTTCTTCATGTACTCCTTCGAGTACGTCATGTGCTGCGTCGCACCCGAGTCGACCAGCCACATGCCGCTCAGCTTGGAGGCACCCGTGTCGCCACCAACCGAGAAGAGGAAGTCGCCAGAGTCATCTTCGACCTGCGCGACGTTCGCTCGTTGCGGCCTCTGCCGCTCCCCGTTCTCGCGGATGCGCACCGGACACTTGGCGATCCAATGTCCGTGCTCGCCGCAGTAGTGACAGGCGCTCGTCCTCTGCGCTTGCGCCTGCCGTCCCTTGCGCTTCATGTCCTCGTGCAGGAGCCGAGACGTCACGAGCTCCCACGTCAGCGTGTCGGAACGCGATTCCAACGCCATGATGAGGAACTGGTACGACTCGCTCAGACTGGCAAGAAGCGTGATCACCAAGTCGTCCTCGCTGACCGGAGCGCCGACCGCGTCGAGCTGTTCCGCCAGCGTCTTGAGCTTGTTAATGTGCTCCAGCACATCATCACCTTCGTCCATCGTTGTCGTGAAGAACCGTCGACGAAGAAAAAGCTTGTTCGCCAGGCTCTTCTTCTCGAAGTGTCCCTCGAGTCTTGACCATGCATCATGCGCGTCCTTCGCCGACCGCACCAGCGGCAGCTGCGAGTCCTCCAACGCGAGACAGACGATCGCCAGCGCCTTGCGCGACTTCTTGCGAAACGTCGCTTGGTCCGCCGCGGTCGTGCACTGCTCGAGCTTCACTTCCCCACTCGTCACTTCCCACAGTTCGCGCTCCTCCAGCACCATCTGCATCTTGAACTTCCATGTGTGGAAGTTGGTTCCGTCGAACTTGTTGATGCGGGCGGTCGCGGTCGGGGCAGCGTCCATGGCGAAGGCGTAGTCGGGGTCTTGGTCAGGGAAGACGGGGCTTGGGCTCATAACCAAAAGGAAGAGCACTTGAGCAGTAGTTGGCAAAATGCAAAGTGATTCGATTCAGGTCCTTAGTTCGCAACCGCGTGCTACCTCTAAGCCTGCTACTGGATACGTCTTACTGGATACACCCTACTGGATTCTCTACTGGATACACAGTTACCTTATCCAATCAGAGAACGCCACGTCGATGCCCATCTTGTACCCACAATCTTGGCGTAATCACCGTGACGTAATCATCGTCCCGTAATCACCTGAATGATTTCGGTACCACACAGTGAAGGTCACGCCGACCTCACTGATGACGCGTTCGCGTCACACGGTCGCTTGGCGAGGCGTCGTCACATCAGTCTTGACAACAGTGCCTTCGCTCCGGTCCCGCCGTCTGCGACGTCGAGCCCAAATGGCATCCGGAGCCACTCGAAATGACCCAAGGCGCACACAAACGCAGAGATCTGACGTGCTCGCTGCGTCATCATGATAGCCCAAAACCCACTCGAAGCGTCAAGCGAGCAGTACCACAAATACTTATCCAGGTCGGTGAGCAGGTCATCGACCATAGGCATCGCATACTCCATGATTGCGGTGATGGCATTTACCATCTTGTAATCGATGCACAGTCGGATATTGCCGCCATTCTTTTTTAGCACAATGACAATCGGGGACGACCACGGACTGCTCGAAAACGCAATCAGACCCGCCTTCAGCAGCCCTCGGAGCAACTCATAGAGCTTCTTGAGGTGTCGGAGGGGGGTCCTCCGAGCCCTCTGTTTGATCGGGGCGTGTCCTTGTACATCGATGTCACACACAAACCCATATGCTGGTGGCGGCAGTGCATTACCACTGGAGATCAGAATATTCTCGTGCCTCCGGAGTACCTTAACCACGCGGTCCTGGCGGCCGAACCCAGAGCAACACCGTGTTGCTCTGTCGGCGTTAGCGTACTCAGCATCGTAGCTACAGCCGCTTCTCCAATGACTGTTGACTGCCTCCCACTCTGGGCCCGACAGGTGGAGGCAGTCAGCGCGTGCAACATGAGTTGCAGGCGAAGTGGAGCTTTCCATGGGCACCTCCGCGCTCATGAGGCTCCTCGTTCGTACAGCTCCGTACGAACGTTCAGGTAGTCGGTCGTTGGACGGACTACAAAGTGCTATCAGGTGTAATGGACCTACCTTGGCTCACTACTACGGCTTACACGTATGCGCACGTGTATGAAGAAGCATAGTTTC